GGGGGTGCCTTCTAAGTTGAGATTTGAAGGAAACATGGAATTTGGATGAAGTGGGGGAATGGGAGGGATGTTATTTATATGCTACTTCTAAGAGAATGAACGGTTTATAATAAATATATCTGCTTCTTAGCACACATTCTTCCCTCCCATAGATTCCTTGGTTTTCTTTCCCAATACAAACTCATTGAATGCTTCTGTTACCTGTAATTGTACACTCTGACTTAATGGATTATGTGTTAAGTTGGGGGACTTGGGGCGACGTTCAGGCCTGGGCTCCTGTTGAGACTTACTTATTCCCGTAGTCCCGCTGTTCTGCGATGCGTCCGAGCGCCTCACACGGGTTAAAGTCAACCCAGAGTCGGGGCAACCCAGTTAGGTGGCGTCACCACTGCGCTGGTGTTCAGTCCGCACCGAGCTCTCCTGCGCTGAGGGAACCACACGGATGAATAAGCTAATGAGAGGTCTGGCGAAGTAGCTCAGCTCTGCAGCGTGGACCGAGGATTGCCAAGCTCCGGGGCGGGCAGATTCCCAGGGGAGAGAGAAACTCAGCTGAGTTCTGGAGGCCAGGCTCCCAGGAGGAGGAGTTTTCTAAAGTCTGCTGCAGGGAAGTGCTCGCAGCATCCCCAGGCCTCGGGCAGCGAGTCATGAAGCTATCTCCCTAGGAAGGATAAGGTTTGGGGAGAGACTGCAAACCTAATGATAGATCCCCACTACAGCCCTGCATCTTGCTTGCTGTGGAATCGCAGACAGATCACTCACCTTCTTGTGCTGTTCGACCATCTGTTCTTCTGTTGGTCCATCCATCCACCCACCCACCCACCCACCCACCCATCCTACAGACATGCATTTTGCATCTTTTCTGTATGAGGCGTTATGCTTTGATCTTGCCATGATTCGGTTAATCAATGGCCGTGTTAGTTGTGTTCCGTGAGTCCCTCAGATCCTCCCTCTCCCTCCTCCACCCGGCTTTGTGCCCCATGAGGGTCGAATCTCTGAGCTCAGGGGGCTTCTCCAGTAGACCAGTGGGAAGGAGGAGAGGGGCTGGGGTCTCCCCCTGCCCCATCCTGGGGGATTGTCACAGCAGCCCATGTCCCTCTGCGGAAGGTCACTGCACCCGCTGGGTGGCTTAGTCACCTGGCATTCTCTCTGATTCCAGCAGCTGCCGGCACTGCCCTGCAGGCCTGGGTGGTAACAGCCCACTCTTCTTCTCTGTGCTGCCCAGTCCTTGTCCCCACCCCACATAAGTTCTGCATATGCTTCTGTTCTTTATTGTTGCATTCCT